ATAACGCGCGACAGGCACGACGGGCATCTGTCGTCCATCCTTCACGCCGCCCCCGTCGATTCTCCGAATATTCTCCGGATCACCGTTATTCCCGCATCCTCGGACTCTCGCGGCCAGGACGTGTGTGTAGATCAGCTCTAACGCCGCGAGGATATTCGCAATCGCGGCGCGGCGCGAATGCAAATTCACGCGATCGCCTGGCAGCGCGACTACTACGGATTTGCATTCGAGACGGCCCGGAGGATTCGTCGGAAAATGGCCCGAGCGCCGTCGCCTAAGTGCAAGGATAGCAGCAAACGACGTTACGGGGTTGACGGACTCATTACGCGGTGGTTTGCATATAGAGCGCGTCGGCTCTCCCGTTCTATCTCTCTCTCCTCTTTCTCCCGCGTACTGTCTCTCTATGTCTGTCTCTCTATGTACAGTCGAATACTCGTACATCCGAACGAACGGACATGCAGAGAGCGACGGAGAAAGGAAGGGAGGGAGGGAGGACGGACGGATACTGACTGACTACTACACGAGTAATATGGATTTGAGGGGCGACCGGCACAATGGTGCCACTAATGCACAACCACCCCCGTGGCAGTACTGGGAACCCCTCCGGGCAAACTGCGTACACGGACCATTCAATATTGGCCGCGGCTCTAGCCACTGGCTTATCTACGCTTAATGGCACGACATTCGAGCGTGCCGAAGAACTATGTCGAATCATGGCCTCGTCGCGTCATCGGGGATGATGAGGTTTCCATCATGAACAGAACACACCTGATCGATAGCGACCAGTGCATTCGTCGCGTTTGATAGACGGCGCCGTGGTGATTGCGGTGTTATTAAGTGGAATCGAGAGGGCTACTGATCGACGAAGAAATTTCACGGTGGATGTGTGCTGGCCGACCGAACTGAAAATTGTCGAGACGAATTCTTGAATCATGTCCCTTCCATGATCGCGTTCTCTCTTCGATCGGATGTTAGGTAGCGGACTACCTGTGCTTTTTCCACGATGATAAAGGGTGATGATAAACGATAAAGGCGATACATCGGAACAGACGAAGCACTGTTGAGTAATCGCGATCGGAGCCACGAGCCGTCGTAATTCTCGACGCCAAGAGATTCCGGTGCTGTCGTCGATAAACCGCAATCGAATACAGCGACGCCCATCAAAGCGATACCGTCGCGACGTCGTCAAATACTCGACGCCGTTATCTTTATTAAAATCGTAGTGGCTCGCGTCGGGTCGCATGATCGCCCCGAAATTTGTCTACGCGCCCCACAGACGGACAAACAGATACAGCGGCGCGTGTGCGAGAATGATACCCGCGCGCACACGTCGAGGATGCGTGTATGTGCGTGAGTGCGTGCTTGCGCGTCGATCACGTTGCACGCAGCACCACCGCAACACTTCCAACCGCTATCCGCGGCAAGCACGACGGCACGGATACCACGGACCCGGTATCAGCATGGCCCATTGCTCGCGAATCCGGCCAATTTCCTGCATCCTGATCTGATCGTCACTTTACGACGCGTGTGTCGCCCGGCGACCGACCGAACCCGCCGGCATTCCGGCCAAACGCGTCCGTCTGTTCACCCACCGAGACCCCGGATAGGTGGTCTCTCGTACGCAGACCGAGCAGCGTGTATACGCGTGTACACGCACGCGGCCCATATCCATCGACCGTGCCCTATGTACCGGCTGATAACGTACGTACCGCGCTCTCCGGATTCAGCATAATCTGACTGATTGGCGGGGTAACCTGCCGGAAGGATCGTACCGGTTGTTGTCCGTCGGAGTTGGGTTTATAACCGGTCGATGCGACCGCCGTTTCGACCCCCCTTCTTCCCCCCCCCCCTCCCTTCTCCCTCGAGCGCATTTCCGAGAGGTCAACGTGGCGACCGTGCAGCAGTGCCGACGTGCGCACGTTTCGAGCGTTTCCACCGCGAAACGGTCCGCGATGTTTGCGCAATATTGTTTAACGTCGCTAATCATAGGTGTACGGGAGTATAAGTATCGTAGTCGAAGTTGCGAGAGACAGAGAGAAAGAGAAAGAGAGGAAAGAGCAGATAGATAACAAAGTGTACGTCGCGCGAGCACACGATTTCGAAATCAAACAGAGTGCAATGCGAAATCTAGCCGCACGTTCAGAAATAAATTGCAGTTGCTGATTATACGAGTATTTGACGTAATATCGCTGACGGCGGTGCCTGTTTGCGCGTACAGAAGCGAGCGGCTTTAGAGCCGAGTCACGAAGCCGTCGATACAATCAGTCATACACGGGAGAACACGTATGGAGCGTCATTAAATCTCAAACGCGGAGAATCGTTCATGCCGGAATGAGAGAGAGAAACGGGGAGAAAGATAAATCCGCGTAAGCGGGACAAACCGTAGATAGACGCGGCTAGTTTTTTTCTCTTCGACTCGACTGTGTCGCCCGTAAAACGGTAGAAAAAAAGGAAATTCCCTCTATGAAACGTTTCATAAGCGAACCGATATACACGCGGAGCATGTTATGAAATTGATAACAAAGAACTGCGCGACGCAAAGTCAAAGCCGACAGGGGAAATTTTTCCAGGGAAACTTCACTTGACGGTAATCTAGATATTGCGCTGCGAGAATGCGCCCCGCCGTTGCGAAGTCAAAGGACGCTTAAATACTTTAATTGGAGCGAATTGAGTTCCGCGGTGAAAAATTTCTCCTGAAATAAATTTCGCCCGCGAGCTCTCCATGCGCGCCTCACATCGAGCGCGTAATATTCGAGAATTAAAAGTGGAAATCGAGCAGCGCAGCGTACTTTCAATTCATGCGACTGAAATTTTTTAAAAAATTAAAGTATATTCGCGTTTCCGAGCACATGGAGGTGTTGTCGGGCGAGACTAATGAGTGTTTTATGAACCTACAATTTCGCAAAATGTTTTCGTATTTTCGTATTATTGCACGAGACGCTATTTCACAGAGAAATATAAAATTTTGCACATCTCGATGTCTTCACTTACATTTCCTCGTTAAGTCGTCCTGTATTTCCTAAAAATTTTCTTGCCTTTCACGATCGCAGTATTTCTCATCGCGTAAAGGCGCGAATTCTCAAATCTCGCGGCGAAATGAAAATCCACCTAGCTTGAACGTGCCTCTTCGCGAAACAGAGGCATGAAGGCGAGATGGAACGAGGGTGAGAGGGAGAAGGACAGAAAGACACAGAGAGCTTCGGTGCTCGGTGCGACGATGTTGCGGGCGTTTATGAAATACGTGTTTCGCCTGGCTATTTGCAGTTTGCACCAGACACAGGCAGAACGGGGCGGCCATTGTATGGGAAACGGATAGAGTGGCGGCATTTGCTATTCCCGTAGCGCGCAGACTACGTTCCATTGTCACATTGTGCCTGCTAATACGCTAAAAGCCTATCTGTGTTGAGATCTGCGCGCGGAATATTGCCGCGCCCGGGATTCAAGTCGGCGTAACGAGGTTACGCCGAAAGAGACAATCGCGAGTTAATGACTGCGTAATTGAACGGTGGCCGTCGATGGCTGGCGGTGGGACGTGGACGGGAGATAGATAGGCAAAGAAGGAGATTGCTCTTGGCCGAGGATCTCTCTCCCGTTAAGCAGGAAGTCGATTCGCAACGGCCAGCTTCACGCCAGCCGTCGCCGGAATAAATAGATCTCGCGAACGTCGCTCAATAACATGAACCCGCTCGCTATCGTCCGATCACGATGATGTTTGTGACGTCAGTTTCACAATGTTACGCCCGCATGGGGAAACGGTTTCTATGTTTATAAGTACGTGAGCGAGCGAACATGTGCACATGACTTATACGCAAGGTAGATTTTTTATTCCTCATCGACAATATTGAAAATTGGTCTCACCGAGATGACTCCGACTTCTGCTCGTAGATCACGATCCAGCTGCGTTCCGATTCATTTGTCTTGCGCTTGGCAGGTCCTTTATCACCGCACGGAAAGCTACCGTCTATCTGAAACTAATAGTAGTCCTCGTTACTCTCTCTTTCTCTTTTTCTCGAAGAAAAGGAATAGATGTATAAAATAAACATGAAATGCATATACGTTTCGAACATGCCGAAAGTAAGGTGAAAGTATTAATGCCCGGACATATACTTCACTCTGAACGTTGTTATTGTTGTTTTAGTCTTATTTAAATTTTCAACATAAAATATATATACATATATTGAATATGTACACATATTATACGTTGAGAAAGTTTAAATGTTTATATTAAAGACCAACACAGTAAGAATGTTCAGGATTAAATACGTGACTAAGCATTAGTATTTTTATCTTACTTTTGTCGAAAATACACATGAAAAAAGGTGCATAGCAAATCCGTGAATTTACCTCTATGGCAACTCCAAATCTTAACTCCAATGCTATATCTTTTTACGCAGGAATGCAACAGCTTCACCAGTACAGTCGCAAGCTCTACTAGATCTCAAACTGAAAATATTTTCTTACATAGTTACAATAACACAAAAATTGTTTGACTTCTAGCTTTTAAATACGACTATTTAAATTTTCAATATAAAACTTATATACATATATTGAATATATACACATATTATACATTAAGAAAGTTTAAATATTTATATTAAAGACCAACATAGTAAGAATGTTCGGGATTAAGTACGTGTTTAGGCATTGGTATTTTTACATTACTTTTGTCGAAGATACACGTGACAAGAGGTGCATAGCAAATCCATGAATTTACCTCTGTGGCAACTCCATCCAAATCTTAACTCCAATGCTATCTCTTTTTACGCAGAAATGCAATAGCTTCACCAGTGCAGTCGCAAGCTTTACCAGATCTCAAACTGAAAATATTTTCTTATATAGTTACAATAATACAGAAATTGTTTTTTCAAGCTTTTAAATAAGACTATTTAAATTTTCAATGTAAAACATATACATATATTGAATATGTACATATATTATACATTAAAAAAGTTTAAATATTCATATTAAAGACCAACACAGTAAAAATATTCGGGATTAAATACGTGTCTAGGTATTGGTATTTTTAGTTTACTTTTGTTGAAGATACACGTGAAAAGAGGTGCATAGCAAATCCGTGAATTTATCTCAGTGGCAATTCCACCCAAATCTTAACTCCAATGCTATGTCCTTTTACGCAGGAATGCAGCAGCTTCCCTGGTGCAGTCACAAGCTCTACCAGATCTCAAACTAAAAACATTTTCTTATACAGTCACACTGACAGAGAAATTGCTTGATCTCGGACTTGCCGAAAACAATAATTTGATACAGAAATATCAACAGAATGAGATACGACTATAGGTTATATCTGAGATTATATTTCTCTTTACTATGCAATGAACTTAAGGTACTATAATCAACTTTAAATTTCAGGATGCTTGCATTGCTCACGATGATCGTCCTCGCGAATGTGTGATACCAGTAACGCCGCATAATCTATCCTGCAAACATTTTAAAGTTAGATATTCAATATTCAAATTTAGAAACAGCGCGCGACGCGGTACGACGCGATTCTACCGACACCTATTTACACGCGAGATTTATTTTCGACACAAAAGACTAATTTAACTTAGAAAAAGACGCGTGAAATGCGAAATAATGACAATCGATGTGTCAATAGAGCATGCAGAAAGATCGAAAATAACCTCGCAACGACATATGTATGCCGAAATATACACGAGCGACGTGAAAAGTGCGACAAAGACGCGTTCTGTGATATATCCCTCTCACTCTCTTACACGCACACATACACTCTCTGTTTCTTTCTTGCTACAGACTAACCTACTTCGCAAGATTCGACGTCGCATATTTCCCAGCGTGATTTTATCTCTCTCCTTACCTCTGATTATCGCATTCCTAATTCTCGATTCCGATTCTATTACTGCTCGAACGAGTCAAATAATGAGAGTGATAGACGACGACTCGACAAGCACCAAACACACGCACCGCGAGCGAGGTTATTCGTTACCCACGTCTATTCACGATACGAGGATATCTTCCGACGATCGCGCATCGCTACTTCGACACTCCCGATACTTATTTAGCCGTGAGATTCACTTTCGGCAGACAAAAGATCCGTAAAATACGGAGCGATGTGCGCGATGTGTCAATGGCGGTCGCCCGTCGCAAAAACATTGGCTACGCTCGCGCGATCGTAACGGACACCGAAGTTGCGCGCCAAGACTGGAACAATGCGCGGTCTGACAAAGACGCACTGTAGTATACCCTCTCTCTCGCTCTCTATCTTGCTAACAGACCGAGATGCTGCTTGCCGAAGTTCGGCGTTGCAAATATCTTTGGTGCCGTCTTTCTCATTATCTTCAAATCTCTAATTCCCGATTAATCGATAATTCGACAGCCGTGCGATCCTAAAACTACTCGAGTGAATAATGAGAGCAGTCCCGGCCTAACCGCCGTCACGACAAGACGTGTTCGAACAAGTTCGGACCTTGTGATTTTTTTGGAACGTGCCTTGGAATTTGCCAAGACTTTACTCTCGAAATATATCATTAATCGGAAAAATGGCGTTGGGGCATAACTTTTAGAGAGGCCTGGAGCCAAGTATTGAAGTTAAAGTTGAATAATGAGAGCGATAGACGCCGACTCAACACGTCGCGACAAACAGCGGTTGTATGTAAAGAGAAATGAGAAGATTACTGTCTCAGGCAACATACTCACGTCCCGACGATCGCACGTCGCTATTTCGGCACTCTCGATACTCATTTACGCGTGAGACTTACTTTCGACAGACAAAAAGTATGTAAAATGCGGAGCAGTGTCGATCGATGTGTTCATGGCGGTCGCCCGATGCAAAGAGATCGAGGATCGCGCAATTGTCGTCGCCGCGCTCTTACAACGCCACCTGTCGTGCATCTATAAGTTGGTATTCGTAACTATCAATCGATCGATTCGATAGGTCGATCGTTACGCGAAACTGAGTGTAGACAGAACAGGAACGCGGCGACAATAATCCCCAACTTTTTCACACCGAGAAATCGTCAACACATCGATTCATATTCACGCGTTGATGTGATAAATACGTTATTAGACAGTAATCTCCTCGTTTCTCGATATATATAACCGGTGCTTGTCGCGACGTGTCAGAAGAAATTCGAATAGAGATAAAATCGCACGACTGTCGAATTTATTAATCGAAAATTAAAAATGTGGTGACCAGAAAAAATTGGAGAAAAATGAAGTAACGCCAGGGAAGTATATGCTGAACCTCGGAAGGTGGTATCGATTAGTTAATAAGACAAAGGGTAGAGAGATGCACTCTATGAATGTATCTTAAAGCCATTGCACGTAGAAAAGTTTTAATTGTAATCATATGGTGGTAAGAAAATTAACCAATCAGAGTTCGAGTATTCTTCTTGTGGTCTATAAATAGTCAAATATGATTGGTCAGTTAACTTATAACTTTACGATTAAAACTTTTTTACGTGCAGTGATCTTTAGGATCAATTTGTTTTTCTTCAAATTAGACAGACAGACACATGATTTAACTGTTAGGAAGCTTACCAAGAAGTTAAAACAATCAGCTCTTAAGTCTGATCTACAATATGCTCTTTGCGTTCTGCTTCTTGTCTTTTATCTTTTTCTGTTTTAAAGCTTAAAGTTTGAGTCAGAAAGAGATAAAGAGAAAGAAGCAAAAAGCAAAGAGCATATTGTAGATCAGGCTTTAGTCGGACCGCGATATCGTCGCGTCGTGGCACTAATTGTCGGCACAATCATCGATTGCATGGTCATTTTGTACATCGATCTTTTTGCGTTCAGCAACCGCCATCGGCACATCAATCCATATCGCTCCGTGCGTTTTACGCGTCTTTTGTCCGTCAAAAGTTCCGCGTAATAAGTGTCAAGAATAGCGATGTGCGATTGTCGAGGCATGTAGTAAGTACGCTGTTGAAGCCATTCTACAATTGCGTAAGCGTGGTTGTGAACGTAAGAATCAACCAATTAAAGTGTTTTATTTACTAATTGCTTTATTCTGATTGGTTATCGTAATCATCTACAACCATTTACAAGCACGTTTACGCAATTATAGAATGGCATTTAGACAATAATCTCTTTTCTCGCTATATATAACCAGTGCTTGTCGCAACGTGTCGGGTCGGTATATATCGCTCTCATTATTCGACTCATTCGAGTGGTGGTAGAATTGCATGCATGACCGTCGGATTTATTAATCCGGAATAAGAAACGCGGTGAGAGAATAAGAATCACAGAGAGAATCGGAGAAAGATGAAATGACGCCAGAGAAGTACACGCTATGCCGAATGTCGGAAGGTGGCATTGATTAGTTAGTAAGAGAGAGAGAGGGATGTATTGTACCAAGTGCATCCTTGTCGGACCACGACATTGTTCGCGTCGTGGCGCTAATTGTCGGCGTACATTATCAATTGCACGACCATCTTGTATATCGATCTTTTTGCGTCGAACAACCGCCATTAGCACATCGATCCACATCGCTCCGCGCGTTTTATACGTCTTGTGTCCGTCAAAAGTGAGTCCCGCGCGATGAATAAGAGTATCAGGAGTGTCAAGGATAACGATGCGCGATCGTCGGGACGTGAGGTAAGTTATACGTTATCAGGTAGCAATCTCTTCGTTTCTCGATACATATAACCGGTGCTTGTATCGAGTTAGCGTCTCTCATGTTTGTTCTTACCATCGACTCAGGTTGCGTTCGGAAACGTCACTCGAGTACTCTCCCTCTCTTTTTACCTCACTCTTGTATTTCGCTCACTCCAACGGCTATCGTCTAGTAGTGTGCACACAGTGTGTGTTTCCGAACGCAGCATCACTCGTGTCGTGAATAGTGATAGAATCGGACAATTGTCGAGTTCATTAATCCGATGTTAAAAACGCGGCGGTAATAAGAGAGAGAGCCAGATAATACGACGTGAAGGTATACGCGACGTTGCAACTCGAGATGATGCGACGTGTACGCGACGCTGCATCGCGTGACACGTGAGGCGCGCGCGGCGAAATTGAATCGAACGTAAAAAATATATCGTCGCTCGCTTCGCAAGAGCCCACCTCACTCCACCCGGTTTCCCTGAACTCGCATGTTTGCGCCACGTCGGATAATACACGTCGCGGTCAATTTCCGTCGGATAAGACGCGCCCGGCTACATAATGGCCCGGCTCTTTCTCTTGCCGCGTAATAGCGAGAAACGATCCGCGCGCTCTCGCCGACGACGTTTTTGCTCGTCTTGATATTGTATACCGGCACCGGGACGGGAGAAATGACCGGCAAGGCGAGGCAACCTCGCGACTGAAAGGCTGCAATCCTCGATTTCGCGGGATCGCGTGCATCGTCGGACCGCAACCTGCCCCAAATTCCTCCGCGTGGTAAGACGCATTGCGCGAATCGACGCGAACGACATCGATAATCACGGAAGAATCCGACGTGTACGATGCACATACGAGAGCTTAGTCACGGAACGATATCTCTCTTTTTTCCAGTTTTTCACCGCGGTGGCTGAGAGAAACAGAAGCGAGAGAAGAACTGGACGGGAGAAAATAAGAGAGGGAGAAAGAGGGAGAGAGAGAGAGAGGTTCCTCGGCCCTTCGCGCCGTCTCTTTACGGACGAACGAGCGGCTGACGAGTGCGTGCAAATTCTTTTAACGACGCCCAAGGCCCTGGAAAAAGCGCGTCGGTGGCGGCACGATTATGAAAATTTTCTTCGGTAAATATCGCGCGCTCTCCTTCAGCCTCGTTGCGCGCGCTCCCCCGCCGCCGGGTCGCAGAAGGAAGGAATAATTATGTCGTCGTTCGCTCGGATGCAGAGCTGGGGCACGGAGAGAGAAGTCCCGAGGAGCCATCCTTCCGCATCAAACGAAATTATTCCGAGGAGGTAAGAATTTCACGGCTCTTAATCGCTCGCGCACGCCAGCGTGCTGCCGCGCGTTTTCATAAATATTTCATAAATCGCCCGTGTGAACGCGCGTTTAACCTTCTCGTGCGTGCATCAGCGCGATAAAAGCTGACGACGTCGCTGTTTCATGTAAAAACGGAAACCGCAGAGAGAAGGAGAGAGAGTTCATAATGTGACGCAATAAAGACACCTCTTGTAACGATACGCTTCTCGAAGCCGACGAAACAAAAAAAGAAAAAGTGCTCAAGCTCGCGCGACAAGGGGCGCTTTTCTCGTGAAAAGCTCCTGCTTTATTTCGCGATCTGTCGTGCTCCCTCGAATTAATGCGGACGTTCGCAGCGTACGTCGCTCCAGCCAACGCGAGTGCGCGTATTTATCCACGTCGGCGAGAGCGGAGGCGCGGGAAGAAGGAGTCGTATAACGGCTCATCGGGGGGCTTTTTAGGAGGCCCCGAAATATCTCGTGGATATCACTGCGGGTTTATCATGAACAATACGAGATAAAGCCGGCCGAGAACTGCTCGCAATAAATTCGTACCGAGCTTCCAGATATTTCAT